ACAAATTACACCCAAACTCACGAGATAAATAAATGTAGGTAGTCTATGTGTGTGTCCATGGCACCCGCGACACAGGGTTTCCCTAGTGCGGGGCTATGTTGAGTGTGAGCGTTATTATTACTATTATTATAATAAACTAGTTTAACGTAATTCCACTTACGCCTTTCTTCCATGAGGAGTACGATATACAAATGAAGATAATCAATGAAACTAATAAATAATTGAAATAAACTAACAATGTCAAGTGAAGGTACTGTATACAAGAAATGTGAATATGGATTCTTATTAATTTATAAATGTAAATTAAACTGTATTAATACGGTGTATGTCAATTTCATTAATAAATATAATAATTTATTTTTTTATATAGTACTTTGAATGTACTCTGCTACTGACTGAATGGACTTTTCCAATAAATATAGAGTTGAAATTAAATCTTGTTAAGATTGAGGTACCCTTGGCTATGTAAATGCACTAAAATGCAACTAGAGTTCCGGTGCTAAGCCTGTTTTTGATCTAAATAACTATGAACAAGAAAGACATGACAAACTAACCACTTTGTTGTCTATGACACTGAATTTGGGTCAAACAGAAGCTCGATGTCCATTGCTTTAATTAAGGCGATGTAAAACTGTCCCACATAGGTTGAAATAGATTTTGGCTTGATTAAATTCTAGCCTTTAAAGTTGTTTTTCCTGAGTAAATTAGCCATTATGGTATAGACAAATTAAAAAAGCCTTAAAAACCTGGTTTACTCAAAATATAGATAATGAATTGTTAATAAGTAGACTACTGTCTTCAACGTGTAAAATATTAAGTTATACGCTGTTTTATAATATTATCGTCAGTCTTTCGTAGGCCACTGCTGAACATGGGCCTCTACCAACGTGCGCCATTTCGCCCGGTCCTCAATTTGTCGCATCCATCTGCTGCCAGCAACTTTCCACAGACCGTCAATACATCTAGCCAGAGGGCGTCCTACACTACGTTTGTCAAGCAGTGGTCCCCACTCAAGAACTCGTTTCCCCAATCGGTTATCGTCTCTTCGACAGAAATGTACTGTTCATAAGGTCTGTATTAAAATAGATACATTTTTAATAATATAAAACCTTTAGTACACCAATACAACAAATAAAACACGTTTCTTAAAAAATTATGAGAGAAAAATAAAAATAGTCAGAAAAATCCAACATCGAATGTGTGTTGTTTTATCGACAAGGATTCTTTGGGCTACAAAGCTTTCTATAATAAAATCTAAATATCATAATTACATAGAGAATAATCAAACTCGGTAAAGTAGTTTCTGGAAAAGTCTGAACCTTCCGGGAACAATGGAGAGCATTCTTTTTGGATGTATTAAATTGATTGCATATTACGTCTTGTGTTTTAGCCATTACGATTTCTCATTTGACATTGACGCAATAAACTAGGCCAGGCAGAAAACTATTTTGATAGGAAAAATTCCTCAATACGGAAGGGGAAACCCGTAACAGGCTTTAGTAGGATCTCAAACTTGCTTGGAATTGTCATAAAGACTCTTGAATGTGACCGGAAAAACGTTTTGAAAAGCAATTTTCGGTAAAAAGGGAATGTATTTATTGGTTTCTTTAACTTATTATGTTATTTATAAGTGAACCATTTGATACATTTGTTTTATTATTAATATGTATTGTATTTTTCTGTTGTATTGCATGCTAAAAATGATATTGCATATTTATTTATTTAACTTACTGAAATGAAGCTTAATAAAGTATAAGAAGTTCCAGCTTCTTGGGCAACGTGCCGCATGAACCCAATTTTATTCATATAATTAAATCCTAGTTTTAGTTACCAGTATTTAAGCTGTCATTGTATCTGTGTTTTCACAAATAAATGAAATAAAAATAAAATTACGACTTAGAAGTTCGGCCAGATCACTTACTTGCTTGAGCCAGCAAGTAGATTCTGTAACAAGGTTTAAATTACGATCGACTTATTTAATATTTTTTACTTATCGTTGTTTTATAAGCACTTTTTGTAGTTATAATAAATATGCACGTGTAGTAAGTGTCTGATTAAAAAAGATTTCTTTGAGATTTTTTTTCTACAGAGAAACACCTTTGGATGCTCACCCTTAAATTTTGTAATGATAACTAGCAAGCTGGTCACGTCCATCTTGACATTGAACTAGCATTAGAAACACTCAGATCAATTAACTATATTACGCCACCGTTCAGTACTCTTCCAGAACTCTTAAACAAATGTGGTCTTGACGGAGGCATTTGATAAAGCACATAATAGTTTTGTTTCACCTTTGTTTTAAAAGTATGTTTTAATGTTAAGAGACGAATTTAATACTTACATTCGTAGCCAAACGTAAACAACTTTGTAAAATGTTTTTAGGACCTAATTAAGTTCAAAGCGACCGCGCCGTTTCGGTAAGTTTAATGAGTAGTACAGGGAGCAAGATTATGTCTCTAAAGTTATAAAGTGTATAAAAAGAAAGAAAATAGTTGCTTTAGCTGAAAAATTTATATTAAAACTTATCTTTTCTTTAAGGCACGTTTTAAAATATGAATTTCATAACCATAAAAGTGGACTTACTGATACTGATATTTCTTGTAATAAGAACAGTGGGAGTGTTAAGTAAAGACTTGGATGAAAAAGAAAGGACCGCAAGGGCATCATTTGTACAAAGGCTTGTAAATAAACACAAACATTTGGAAGGCAGAATTCGACTTATTGGAGGAAAAGATAAATACGAGGGTAAGTAGCACTATTTTTAAACGGCAGCAAATAGTACAATTAGCATTTCAAAAATAACCTACTACTTCCAATGTAATAAACATTATTACTATATACGTATTTATTCTCTGTCGCTCTGGCTCCAGAGCACTAATTATTTAGATGGATTAGCCTAGTAAGACTGGGTTGACTTAGAAAAATGGATTCTATTTACCGATTTGCACCTTTTCCTGTTAAGACGAATAAAACCATCTCTCTCTCTCTTCACGAAAAATTGCTTGTTTTTGTACTAGTTTTTCTGTACTAGTTTGGAACTAGAAAACACCGAAAACAAGTACACAAACTCAGCAAACAATTTCACGATTACGACGCGTTGACATTCGGGTTTACGTATTGATAAATTTTACGTTTAATTTAAAACGTAAAAGTTTCAGTCATATTTTTTTTGTCGAACATCAAGTTTAGCGTTCAAATGATACCCTTATGCTGTTATAGGTCCGGTAATTAATGGATAAGCCTGAAATGCCTTACAGTATAGCTTGTGATTTCTAAAAAAAAAATACAAATACTAATTTTATTTATCTGATAGTGTTTTTTATGAAACCTCGATAGCACAATTCCGGACAAACAAATTTGTAACACCGTTTGCACATTAATTGCAATAACTTTCTATTTATATTAGAAACAATAATAAATTGTAATAAATAAAAATAAAATAAAAATAAAATAAAATAAAATAAAATAACCATAAAATAAACATAAAATAAAAATAAAATAAAATAAAATTAAAATAAAATTAAACTAAAATTAAAAAAAAAAATAAAAAATAAAAAATTAAAAATAATAATAATAATAAAATAAAAATAAAATACACACAAATCACATGAAGGCATTAAAATCATATATTAGCCTGCGCAAATATGCCTGACACGGTGCAGAATCGGGGCAGCCCCAGCAACACCCTAAAGGCATTGTTGTGCTGAATCCGCAGCGCGCTGAGGGTCCGCTGCGTGTGGTTGACCCACAGGGCGCACGTGTAGAACACCAGACAGTAGGCTCTAAACAATGTTAGTTTTACAGGGACACTACAGCGCGCAAATCTGCGGGCCAACATATTACGTTACGAACCGTCAGCATCCTGCGTTCCCTCTCAATGTCTACCTCGTCCTTAAGGTCATCAGTTACAAAATACCCGAGATATTTAAATTGGTTAACCCGCTTAACTTCTGGGCCGTAGAGTGTAATTTTGGGTACATGAGATGGACACTTACCACCGACGGCCCTAAACACCAGAAACTCGCTTGTTTTAACGTTATACAGGAGATCATGTGAAAGTGCATAACGTTCACAAACCTGTAGTAGACACCTAAGCGCTCTAACCCTTGGACTCAGTAGCACCATGTCGTCCGCGTAACTGATGTTACTGACGCTGCCGTCATCCACGCGACAGCCGACCCTCATGCTACTGAGCACAACGATCAAGTCGTTAACGTATAAGTCAAAAAGCTTTAGCGAGGTCAGATCCTCCTGCCTCACTCCACACTCTAATTTGAACGAGTCTGAGAGCTTATTAGCCCACCTCACGTAGTTCACTTGATTATGATACCAGTATTGAAATATACGCAACAACTCCGCTGGCACATCTCTATCTCGAAGCTTGTCACACAACACATACGACACCAGGTCGGAAGCCCGTGCTTTCGATCGAAGAGATCGAGAAAACAAGCGTACACTGGCGTTCGTCTTTCAGTGTAGTACCCAACCGTATGTTTTAGAGCCAGAACCACACTCTCAGTTGAAAGTTTGGGACGAAATCCGAACTGTGCGTCGTGCAAGTGCAAATAACTTTCGAGACGGTCGCCCAGCAGATAATTGGCCCTGTCAGTTACATCACGCGTTTTGTTTTTAATTATGGGCACTACAATTGTACGCATGAGATCATCAAGAAGGTATGAGTGGTAATAAAGCATTAATATAATTATTATTCAAATATTTCATTTTGGTAGGTCAATGTTTACACTATAATATGTTTTTTCTTTCAACCATCGTTTTAATAAACACTGAAACTTACTTAATGGCTGTGATTTTTGTGTATCAGGCAAACTATTATACACTTTGACACACATTTCTTTACAACTCTTCCGGTACAATGCCGTTCATGGTATAGTATCCATAACCAGTCTGTCTTGTCGTCAGGGATAGTGAAAATACGCATAATATGTAGGTCGTATTGATAAAAGGCGCGTGTCTGCAGTAAACCAAATTTTACAGGGAACCATAGATTCAATGTTATTATTTTGTTATTTCAAAGGCTCCGACTTAAATTTTTGCTAAGTAAGTATTTATTTATGCTGCCTACAGACTGATAATAATAGGTCACCGTAATCACACTAATTTGGTTGCCAGGACAGTTACGCGTATTTCATTTGACCTCTAAATTACCGAAATGGAAACTCAAAATCCCATGCTACTTACGCGTAATTGCATTATCTGTGACATTATACTCTAGCCACACAAAGCCGGCTACGGATGCGGGAACTTTCGTAATGCAGATATCAATGTCGAGCGTTTCAGTGTGCAGAGATCATATAAACTCGTACATTACAAAAATCCCCGGAACGCTTCAGCGGCCGCCTCTGTGTGACCAGAGCATCAGTGTCTAACACATCGGTTTTGATTATCTTCGTCTCGCTTGAACAAATCTTCGTATGTTCGTACAAATGTACTTAGAGAGAGACATAATTCCAAGTTTTCGAAACAAAGGTCTACACGATTGGTCTTATGGTGCCCCACACATTGCACACATCTTTTTTGCGCTATGAATGCCCTGTCAGCATCAGCACTGTTTCCCCGCAACAATAATCCGTAAAAACAAATCAAATGAAGTATTACTAGGATTAAACTAGTCTTTATATTTTGCTTTTGAACAGTCATAATCTGTAAAGCTTCAGGCTTATCCATTCATTACGGGACAGCCTGTATACAAAGATTTACCCGTTGCATGAATGATGTTTAGAATTGTGACTGGTATAGTCTGGTTTTGGATTTAGGCAATGACTGTTTAGTAAATAATTTGTTTTACTTTTTTTTATATTTAGTTTCTTGGTATTTTGTATTTGTATTTTTTGTAAGTAGTTTAGAGTTGGCTCGTATTTTATGCAATTTTACGTATTTTTTTTCTGAAATACCTATTGTAAAAGCTTTTAACCAATCACGCATTTTAGAGATACACGGTGCACTAACGGTTTTGGAACGATAGTCTCATAGAGACACATGGTGTTTCCAACACGCATCAGTGTTTTCATATACCATTGTATAAATTAAATACATAAATAGCCGTTGTTGCCAACAGGGTGTAACTACACGTGCAGAGGATAGTGGTCTATACGTGGCATTTCTCAAGAATTAAGTAATTTTGTATTGTACCTAACCATAATACGTAAGAAAAACTTACTTATTACTAACATTACTATGGATCAATGTAATAAATCATAAACAATTTATAAAAAAAATAAAAAGCACTAACCTAGTTAGGGACGCCGTGTGTCTATAAGACGCGTGTCTTGTAAAATGTAGCATTAAAAGTACTACTGAAAGTCTCTTTACTTGTACTTTGTTTAATCTCATGAGTTTTCTTTCATAATTCTTTCATTTTTAATATTTCCGAGCAGTATGTAACAGACAAGACGTTGTTAACAGCTGGTACATAATATCCTTTGTTATGACGCCTTCCAGCACTACAATCCGTCTTTATTAACTTCTTTCCGCCTATGCAGGCTGTTCAAATAGCCAGGCTCTATACTTATGTAGCTCGATTATCAAACTTTCAGAATATAGAACATGTTGACCATTCTGCTTAACTGCCTCTCATTCTGCTTAATTTCCGGGCCCGGAGAAATATTTGTATGGCTTACATTTATATCTCTCGTGGTTTGGGTGTAATTTGTGTTTGTTTATATGTGTGTCCATGGCACCCTGGATACAGGGTTTCCCTAGGCTGTGAGTGTGTACGTTATTTATTTATTTATATATTTTTTATTATTTATTTAGGACAACCAACACGTAATAATGATAATAATATAATAATGCACAAGACAACCTCACCAATTGTCTGGTTTTAAATTTCCTGGTACTATGAGTAACCAGAACTATTCACTCTGAGGCTTTTTCCAGAACACCCAGACCAGAAGCAATTATGAAAGTTCATTTCCCGAATTGGTCCTATCTAGAATAAAACCCGCGACCTCCTCATCCAGCGCCCACAGTATAAACCGTTTGGGCCCTCGAGATCGTTAAATCATACACTTAATACATTTTTTTTATATACAAATCAATTAGAGTTGTGCTAAAGTGTTGACTCAATTGGAAGTTGCCACTGTATGTGTTAAATCATATTTGCGTGTACTAATTACTAGATTCTATTATAAAGATGTTAAACTTCTATAAAATTCAAAAGCATAATTTTAGTAAACCAAATTTATTTCCAGTAGAGGGTAGTACAAAATGAGATGTACATAGTAAAAATTGTTTGCGAACTAATTTTAAAAACAAAATGAAAAGCAGTACTTTCAAAAACATGACTCAGTTTTAATTTATAAAGTTGGTACAAAACAATAATGTTTGTAATTTAGTTGTAGTAAAAAAATAATTTGAGAAACAGGATAAACAAAGTAAAAGTAATAGCACTTCTAAAAGGATGGATTTAATGTACTAGTTAATACAGAATTATGGCTGTGCTAGTAAAAAGAAATTAATTAAAATTGACAAGTTAAAACAACGATTACTTATAAAGGATTGCAAGACTAATCACAACATTTAGGTACATAAACTATGCCAAAGCGTAGTAGTACCAAGCAAAGAGACATTACTTATATTTATTTACGCAACACAATTAGACAGTAGCAATAGAACAAGTTACAAGGCAGGTAGGTACTTAACTTTAGCTGGTTCTCGGTTCGGCACTTTTTCTGTCTCCTCCAGGTTTACAATCCTTCCTTTATCCTTCCTTCCTTTATCCTTCCTTAATCCTTTATCCTTTTTATACCCTTCAAAATCTCCTTTGAAAATCATTCACACATACATACTATTTTAACCAATTACAAAATAATTATCGTTTACATTTGTACAGTGCTGAAGAGAATGAAAGCTTTTACCTAACAAATTGTTGAAACATATTTTAAGAACTATAACAATTATAGGAACCTCATAGTTGTCTTAATTAAGCAAATATCATTAATTTTATACACCATAATATCGACCAATCACATAGCAGTATTTCTTGACTCACTTGGTTGAGCATAAATAGTAAATGTTATGCATTACAAAGGTATAAAGTAACAAAGGCAATACATATTTAATTACTGTAATAGTTATATAAATCTCATAATTATCTTAATTTAGCAAATATCATCAATTTTATATACCATAATATCGTCCAATCACAGAGCAGCATTGTTCAGTACACTTGGTTGAACATTTAATAAATATTATACAGTATTAAGATGTAAAGTAAAAACTTCAAGAATATTTTAAAGAGTGTAGCAACTATTTATCCACGTCGTAGTTATCTTTATTTACAAAATATCATTAATTTTATAAACCATAATATAACAGTCCGAAATGGAAGTTGATCAAAAAGGCAACCTTTCAAAATGCAATGGTGAAACTATAACAGATAAATTGTGATGAATTTCAGATAGTCATTATTAATTCAAACGAGAATTATGAAACCATTAAAATGACTGAATATTATGTATTTTAGGAAAGTAACCTTATTTCACAAGTTTCAAACTTACAGAGGCACCTATATTTTTTTTACGAGACACCTGGTGGCCATACTTACAAATATCTACATGGAATTTATAGATGGCGTTAGTTAACGCCCAATAATATTGACTATAAAATATAAATACTATGCACCAGTCAACCACAACTAATAATTATATATTTTGGTAGCAGTAGAGCTCCTTGTGAAAGAGTTTATCCAGGGAAGTACTGCCACCTTACCTATTTCTGCCGCCAAGCAGTAATGTGAGTGTTACTGCTATTTGAAGGGTAAGGGTGCTAGTGGAATTACAGTCACATGGGACTTGTCTCATTTTATGCCTCAGTGCGACGGGCGCAATGGCATTGCTTCTGAGATCTTTGCGATTTAAAGCTCTGAGTGCACTTCATATTATTTTAAAAAATCGTCGACCTGCTCTACCTGGGCATGTAGCTCAGTTGAAAGAGCGATGGGACGGTGACCCGTGGTCACAGATTCGAGTCGCGTAGGGTCGAAATAATTTTTCTGTGTGTTCGATCTTTGTAATAATTATCGCGATATTCTTTAAGTTTTAATTTTATAAAGCCGTGGTTTTGCACTTCTGTCTTTCTCGGAATTTATGTGCTAAATTTATTTCAATTATATTTCAAATTTACCATGAGCTTTTCAGTAAAGGAAAACATCCTTCGAAATACGTGTGAAGTTCCCAATCCGCATTGGGCCAGCGTGGCGGACTATGGCCTAAAACCTCGCCTAGGAGGAGACCCTTCCCCACTGCTGGGGAAGGGTCTCCTCCTATAAATAGGTTGATGGTGACAATGATAGTCAATAACACATTTAAAATACCCTAATTTTCTAGGCAACGTATACATCTACCACGCTGGACGATGGGGCGCGATCTGTGACGACTCCTGGGACAACGAAGCAGCCGAAGTTGTCTGCAAATACTTCAATAGATCTGGTGTTGCTACGTATGGAGGACAGTTTGGGAAGACTATAAGTAAGTATTTAGTATGCTTCCTTGAGTATCTCTTTCTCTAAATGCTTTTTCATCTCTCCCGGAAGAATAAATCTGCCACATTTATCATACCTGTCCAATATTACGATATTACGTTGTGAAGTCAGAGCTTATTTTACGATATTATCTGTAGCTGAAGGAAGTTGATTAATGTACATAGTTGTGTATGAATTTAATTTTAAGTTATGTAAGTTTTGAATTTTTCGTAAGGTCCGTTCGTTCCGTAGCTTTGTTGGCATAGAGTCTGGCATGGTTTGCTGGAAGACGTTGGTTCGAATCCAGTCGGATTGAAGGAATTTTTTCTAAATGTTCGATCTTTATATTCATAATTATAATAAACTAGTGGAGTAATTTCACAAAAATAATAAAATACTATGGTGGTCAAACATCGTAACAATCAATAAAACTTAAAAATTTAAAAATGTGTCATAAATATGTAATTACATATTACTCTAATAATACACGCATTTTTTTACATTTCCTATCAAGTGACGGGACTTTTGCGTTGGGACGGAAACTTTGGTTTGAGCTTCAAAATAGATATTATGTGTTAGACCAATAAATTATCAACAAGATATCTGTAATTGTATATTATGTGACAATATAATCTGATTTTCAGGAAAGTACTGGATGGATGATGTAGTCTGCGAAGGAGATGAGCAATCTATATCTCAGTGCATCTTTTCTGGGTGGGGATCTACTGACTGCGATGTCACAGAAGCGGCTGGCGTTGTATGCAGGAATAAAGTTTCCGCTAATCGTGTAAAGAGGAAGAAACAACTAAAGAATATACATGAAGTTCTGGATTTAAATACTGCCAGTTTGAGATTGGTTGGTGGAAGGAATAATAACGAGGGGAGAGTTGAGGTAACTTTGATTTCTATTTATCAGTACCAACTTTATCAATTTAGATAGTAATCCATTTTTCCAAATTCATTTAAGATTTAACTGTTCGATATCAATTTGGAAGAGAAGTTAACGACTAAAGCTTCTATAATTATTGGTGGTAGCCTAATGATTTAACCTCTCAAGCAGAGGGCGTGGGTTCAAATCCCGTACCTCTGACTTTTTAATTTATGCGTGAAATTCAATTTGAAATTTACCATGACCTTTTCGGTGAATGAAAACATCGTAAGATAACCTCCCACACGCACAGACCGTCCCTTACGTACTTTAACACGTATTTTTAGCATTATTAAATAGTATCTACCATTCGTATTGCTCTTCAGTATACCTATTTGTCTTTTTCTTTTAAGATTATTGGCTTTACGTAAGACTACTCTGAGTGGGTGAGGGCCTGTTGAGCTATAACAGAGGTTTAGTTGCCTAGTACGGTCTCCGGTCTCTCTCAAGGGATACAAACATTTAAAATTGTTACTCTATTATAAAAAATAGTGTGTATTTCCTTGTGTTGAGAAAAGAAACCATTATTATTATTATTATTATTATTATTATAAGCATTTAATAGCATTATTATAAGCATTATAATCATTTCCATTAGGGTAGCAGATATTCCCCGCTTTGCGCAATCTTGACAAACCTCTATGCTTTACTTACATTCATCAATCCTTTTATAGAAAACATGGTATTGTTCTCCTCGCACACCGGCCTTTTCTAGAGCATTCTCCATTGAATCGTGGCCAACCTATCAATGTTGCCTTCCACGTTGTCTTTACATCTCTCTTACGCCACTCTACGTTCATTCCTTCGTTCCCAATTTGGCCCAAATCAGACCAACATACTATTTTTAGATTTACCATAATGGATCCTGGGGTAGTATATGCCCCGAAAGCTGGACTTTATATGAAGCTGCAGCTGTTTGTCGACACTTGGCACTCGAATATGCTGAACTCGCTTCACAGACTAATTTATTTGGCGCATCTAGGTTAGTATGATTTAGTAAATAAATAGCTATGATCAGAAATGTGCAGTAGGTTAAAACCCAATCAACCCGCTCGGCTTTACGCCCAAAGTGCTGGGCTTAAATCCATTTCTGCCCGAAATCGTGGGCGGAAATATTAAGCGTAAAATAATACGGACTTAGGTATAATCCATACTTGTTACAAATTTCGATGCAAAAATCGCTTTTAGACGAAAAAGAGGCAACTACACACAAATCTATCACTTAATACTAGGGATGCACATCACAATTCGATTGTTATGTAAATCGATTTAATCGAGTAAATGTATAGATTCATATCAATGCGATTTTCAAGCGAATCGATACAACAGAAAGGCGAAACATGTAAGTAAGCGAAAAACATTTTAAAGTAATACCAATACAATTGAATAAAACTCGATTTACAAATATTAGTCCCAAATAGTCTTTGCCCTGGATTTCTGGCATTAATTGATTTTAACTTGATTAAAACCCAGAGTTTACAAAGCGTCGGGTTAAAATCCGACGAAGAAGTATTTATAGCATTTATTTAAGTTGTAATAATAATAAATTTATTTATTTAGGCATAAATCCCATTAATTTACAAAATTACATATAATTAAATTTAAAAATATAAAAATTTAAAAATTAGAATACAAAAATTACACTATGATTAAAAACTGTAAAATAAGAATAATAATTACAAAAACGCCCAAAAACAACAATAGCATCGCGAAAAAATGACTTGCACCAATAAGTTTTTCGAGTTCTTAGCCGTTAGCCTCTCAGTAAAATACCATTTTCGTTTTCTCATTAAAGCGTAAAAATCGTCCACCCTGTTCAGGGCAAACATACCAGATGCGCTGCAACGCCATGACAAACCCAACATGGTACGAAATGCGTTATTATACTGCACCCGTAACATGCCGAATGACCGTTTAGTGTAATAAACAACTATTTCTAAAATTATTACAAGTAAT